TATGCCCGCAACCAAGGTACATGCCCTTGACCGGAATCGAACCCGGGACCTTTCAGTCCCCAAGCCGACGCTCTATCCATTGAGCCAAACCGGTCTTGGCCTCACAAATAATTCTTAAGAGGAAAACCACCACCATACTCTACTTTTCACTTACTCTTCTTTCCCATTTTTTTGTTTAGGTTATAGTATTTCTATCTTGTTAGACTATATAACATTTACATACCTTCCATCATCATTTCCATCTTTTAATCTTAGTTCTACGAGAAATACATTGCATTAGCCAGTGCACAAAATCCATGCATGGGAGGAGGGGATGCCCTCAGCCCAGCCTGCACCCTCTCCAATTTGGAACCCCTTGAGTCGGACATCCCTCTCACTATCTGGGACCGCTGGCTCCTAATTACTCACCTACCTGCCTGCCTGGTTGACCCTAACTGCTGCCCCTGCTGGCCTGGTCACCCCCAACTACCCCCTTCTGGCCTGATCACCCCTAACTGCCCCCCCCAGCACCCCTCACTGGCCTGGTTGCCTATTACTGCCCCCTGCTGGCCTGAATGTCCTACTAGTTTATCTCTCAAACATTTGCAGCAGCTAAAGGATATCCTTATGATTCAGGAATTCAATCAATTTCATTGATCAACTGAACAGCACAAACTAAAGCGGTCATTTGGAACTTTACATTGTTTTAAATAATTTAAGTTCTTAGGTACATTGTTTAATTTGTCCCCATAATGGACCATACCAGTTCAAAACCAGAAAAGTGATGGCAAAATGCACAAAATTAATTAGTGACATACATTAGTATATGATCAAAACTTGCCCTGGCTGATGTGGCTCAGCTGGTTAGAGCATTAGCCTGTACATCAAAACTTAAAAGGTAATGGGTTTGACAGGTTCGATTCCTGGTCAGAGCACATAGCCAAGGCATGTGGGGAAGTAATGGATTGCTATCTCTCTTTTATATAAATATTTTTATTTCTTCCTTCCTTCCTCTCGCTCTCTCAAATCAAAAAACATATCCTCAAGGGAGTATGTTCCTATCTAATAAAAGAGCAATATGCAAATTGACTGTACCTCTGCTACACCCACAAGCCATGCCGATCAGCCAATCATGAGCAAGTATGCAAATTAACCAAACCAAGATGGCTGTGGGCATGAACAGGAGGCTTGGGTTTTCCTGGCAATGGAGGAAGCCAAGCTTCTGCAGCCCTGGCCTGCCTTGGCCACATAGCAGAGTCTCCTCTTGGGTCGCTGGGGTGTGTAGCTGGCCTGCAAACCACCACAGGCCTTTCACCCAGGCCGGCCCATGCCCTGAGGGAATCCCCACGCTGATCCAGGACACCCCTTCAGGGCAAACCAGCCAGCCTCCACCCATGCACCCAGCCTCTAAACCTATCTAATAAAAAAATAATATACAAATTGACCATCACTCTAACATACAAGATGGCTGTCCCTATGTGGTCAAAGATGATCACCCCATGTGGACACAAGATGGCCACCACAAGATGGCCAGCAGGGAAGGGCAGTTGGAGGGGGGGAACCCAGGCCTGCAGGGAAAAGCAGTTGGGGGGACCAGGCCTGCAGGGGAGGACAATTTGGGGCCAACAGGCTGGCAGGGGAGCAGTTAGGCATCAATCAGGCTGGCAGGAGAGTAGTTAGGGGTGATCAGGCTGGCAGACAGAAGCAGTTAGGAGCAATCAGGTAGGCAGGCAGGCAGGAGCCAGGAATCCTGGATTGTGAGACGGCGCAGGCTAGGCTGAGGAACACACACCCCCATGCATGAATTTCGTGCACCAGGCCGCTAGTTTAAAATGTGTGTGTGTGTGTGTGTGTTGGAGGCATCAAGTGTTAGACCAGTGGGGTCAGACCAGACTTGGGTTCAGCAACCTCAGTATTTGAATTCTGGCTAGGAAAGAATTCAGAGCCAAGACCCAAACTATAAGAGAACATTTATTTAGCTAATCACAGATGTAGAAAAAGTACTTCCTAGAAGAAAAGGGCTTAGGAAACAAGGTACAGAGGCATAGGAAGGGCCCTTGAAGCTTAGGAGTGAGGAAGCTGGTAAAGAGCCTGGGGTGGGGAGTGCAGAGGGAAAGGCGAGGGCATGCTCCCTGGAAGGAGAGCTCACTGGGTCCTCTGACCTAAGAGTTTTAAAGGTAAAGATTTTTAAAAAATATATATTTTATTGATTTTTTTACAGAGAAGAAGGGAGCGAGAGAGAGAGCTAGAAACATCAATGAGAGAGAATCATCGATCAGCTGCCTCTTGCACACCCTCCACTGGGGATGAGCCCACAACCAAGGTACACGTCCTTGACCGGAATTGAACCAGGGACCCTACAGTCTGCAGGTTGACACTCTATCCACTGAGCCAAACCAGTTTCGGCTAAGGGTGGAGATTTTAGGGGAGGTACCAGAGGAAGGCCTGTGTGGTGATCTTGCAAACTCAAAGACCTATGGTCTGAATTTAAGACTTTAACTAAAAGCAGTTATGGTGGTTAGTCATGTCCATGGCTGGAATCTTTCCTGACAAAGGTCAATCTTTACTTTAACTGAGTCTTTTGTCTTTTTGCATCTACGATAACAAGTAGTTGGAATGTCAATGTAATTTTCCTTTTTTCAGAACCCCTTAAAGCACAGCAGTCACCACTCTGCGGAGACCACAAATCCCCTCATGGTTACTGAGTTAATTATTGACTGTTAACTATCCTGTACTCACCTATGTAATAGAAGTATATGTCTATCATTTTACTTTTTATCCAATCCCTTTCTCTCCCTTCCCTAATCTATCAGCAATAGATGTCATGTAAACCACTTACATCTCCTCTTTTGGTTGTAATGTATAAAACAAGGTAAAAAAAAATTGTCATTCTCCATTCTCCCAATACATTGAGATTTTGCTTCCTGACAATTGTCAACAGTTTCGCTTAAATAAACTCACAAAATTTCTTAACAAGTTTGAATGTTTTCTTACATTAACAGATTTCTAACATACCTTAGGCTTCAATTCAACACTAAGTTATTGATACTTGATCCTGACTGGTTTGGCTCAGTGGATAATGCGTCGGCCTGCGGACTGAAGGGTCCTGGGTTCGATTCCGGTCAAGGGCATATACCTTGGTTGCTGTCACATCCCCAATAGGGGTGTGCAGGAGGCAGCTGATCAATGTTTCTCTCTCATTGATGTTTCTGACTCTCTATTTCTCTCCCTTCCTCTCTGTAAAAAAATCAAAAAGTATATATTTTTTTTAAAAATCAACAGCCCTTGCCGGTTTGGCTCAGAGGATAGAGTGTTAGCCTCTGGACTCAAGGTTCTGGGTTCAATTCTGGTGAAGGGCACGGGCCAGGGGTTGCAGGGTCGATTCCCAGTGGGGAGTATATAGGAGCAGCTAATTAATGATTCTCTTTCCTCACTGATGTTTCTACCTATCTCCCCTTTCTTCTCTGAAATCAATAAAAATGTTTTTTTTAGATAATAAAAATAAAAAAGAATCAACAAATAAATGCATAAGTAGAACAAATCGGTTTCCCTCCCACCCTCTCTGTAAAATCAGTAAGTAAAAAAATAAAATAAATTATTGATACTGAAACCCTTGCAGTTTATGCTTTATAAAACTCAAATTAAAAAACAAAATTTTAGCCGAAGCCGGTTTGGTCCCAGGTTCGATTCCGGTCAAGGGCATGTACGTTGGTTGCGGACACATCCCCGGTAGGGAGTGTGCAAGAGGCAGCTGGTTGATGTTTCTCTCTCATCGACTTTTCTAGCTCCCTATCTCTCTCCCTTTCTCTCTGTAAAAAATCAATAAAAATATATTATAAAAAAAAAAGATTTAGAAAAGCTTCCATAAGATTTCCATTGAGGAAAATCAATTCATTGTCTATGTTAAAAATTTTTTTTTTAAATAAAATATTTAATTATTTTACTGCTGTTTTCTTTAGTATTCCTGCAACAAAACACACGGTACTGTTGACTCTGTTGGCCCATTAGTTAACTTTGAATAACTGAAAACTAAACTCAAGGCGATGAGTATCTTTGCTTTCTTTTCATGCATGTCAAAACTGCTAAAGTTAATCACAAAATATTAGTCTAGGTTCTCAAATCTGATAAAAATTCCCACCCTCAAATTAGACGTGTGTTTCCTACTTTGATTGGGGGTGGGGGCGGGGGTTGGTACTTCTGTGTCCTTCCTTCCAGCCGAGGAGGAGCTCCGAAGCTGGGATGCTTTCCCTCGGACCAGCCTGCCCAGGCCCTGACGAGGCAGCCAAGCATGTCAAGGCAGACCCAAAAAAACGTCCAACTCTTCCAGATCGTCACCAGGGAAACTAAGATTGGACAAAATCCTTCTTTCACTTCCACTGTTCCCAAAAGGACCCGCACCTTGCAGCTTTTAAAAAAGACCGCTGCAGGGATGTTGGCTGCCCACTAAGGACCAAAACTGCCCAAACGCAGAGCCAGCCTGACGCCCACTCCGACCACGGGACGGCCTCACTCAAAGGGATAAGGAGGGAGGGGAGCGGACACCGCAGGGGCGCTCCTGCGACCACGGAGGAAGGAAGCCTGAGCCCCACGGTGAGGCGTCCCCTCTCCCCCTCGTTAATTCCCAGCCTCGTTCCTTTCAGCACCAGGCGGGCCGTCAGCCAGCCTCCTGTGTGCGTCAAGGCTGAGGGCCAGAATCCCCGGGGCAAACCGTGTTGGAGTAGCTTCCTGGAATTCAAGGACCCGGTTTTAAGGCATCACGGGTCCCAGAGAGCTCTCACAAAGGCCCCACCCGAAGCCCCCACCACCATTCACCGCTCTCCCCGGGGCTGAGAAGCAGGCCGAGAGGACTGACTTTTCCCCTTCAGGGAGGTCCACGGCACCGGATCGGTGCCCTCACGCCCACACCCCGGCCCCTCCTCCACAGCTCCCGCAGGACCCCCTACACGGCGAGCCGCTAAGCGCGCTTTAATCGCCCAGAAGCCCGGCCTCAGCCACACACAAGATGGCAGCCACACACCTACCGGAGGAAACAGCTGCGCCACCACTCCTGCGAAGCCGGCCTCTCGACTGCGGGTATCCCCATTGGCCCGGCGAGAGCGCGCGAGACAACGCGAGAACACCGCCAGCAAATCGGCGGGCGGCGCTTTGGCGCCTCGGCGCTGCGGGCGGCTCGCGCGCTGGTGCCTGGGGCGTGGCCCTGGTGCTCCGGGCAACCAGAGGGCGGCGGGCCGGGAGGCGTCCGGCTCCTCCCCCTCAGGGCTCGCGTGTGGTAGGCCTGGGTGTCACGGGTTGGGCGGTCCTTCCTCCGGCCGCGGCGAGCGATAGGAAGCGGAGAAGTACTTCCCGGCCAGGGGGCACCGGGCGCCGCGCGTTCTGGGCGCTGTGGAGTCGACGAGGGTCCCGACCTGCGGTGAACCCGGCCTCGCGGGCGGCGCGCTGCCTTCAGGTGTGGCCGGCGGCGGCGAGGAGAGCGCGGCGGAGCCCGTGTAGGCGAGGCCCGGCTGTGGGCGGCTCTCGGGCGGGTCCTGCGGCCCAGGACCGGGGAACGCCGCCGGGGAGCCCGGGCATCCTCCCTTCTTTCACCCACGTGCAGTCCCGGGCTGGAGCAGGGAGTCGGGGCGCGCCAAGTTCTCAGCCCCCGTTTCAGCCTAGACCTGGCGGTTTGCACCTTACTGTGGGGTGATTCCCAGCAGCCAGGACCCCGAGGCCGTCAAGGGCTGCAGTACGAACCCCAGAAGCAGAACTTGTTAACCACTGACCCATTTCACAGGTAAGACCACACAAGCCCCAAGTAAGGATAAAATCCTTGATCCAAGATCACCGGGTTAAGATCAGATCCCAGGAGCACCTGACTCACTAACCCCCACCCAGTAAGTAGTTCATCAGCGATTAATTGGAATAAGGAACAGTCGTGATTCACTGTGCTCGCCCCTTGGCTTGTGGAAACCTGCAGTAAGTTCCGTCTGTTTTGAGGAGGCGGCTAAGAAAAGGGGTGCCTAGGCGGAAGATGGAATAAAAAAAGAACCCTGAAGCCACACCACCTGGTTCCTTTTGTTTCTGCCACTTTCACTAGCAAAGCAGACAGGCTAATGTATCTGATTGTTATGCAGAGTAAGGAACAAGGGAAGTGGTGTGCCTGATAGATGATTTATACACAAGTTATGTACACTAATGAAAACATAAGGAACACAGGAAATGGTCACAGCTTCATAAGACCGTATTTTTAAAAAACGAGAAGGAATTGTAAATTGAAACTACTTTTCTGCCAAAAATGGAAAAATGAGAATCGGAAATATATCAACACATTTTAAAATCCCTGTTATGCTCCAAAATATTAACATTGATTATCTATCTCTGGATGGTGAAATTCTGAGTGATTTAAATTTTCTTTTTTAGGAAAATAGGTTTTTATTTATTTCAGACAGAGGAAGGGAGAGATAAAAACATCAAGGATAAGGCTTCCTGCACGCCTCGGAAACCTAGGCATTTGCTGACCTGGAATCCAACCATGACCTGGTTCATGGGGCGAGGCTCTAACCACTGAACACACCAGCCAGACTAAAGTGTCCTCTTTATGCTTTGTTAGATTTTGCAAATTTTCTCCACTAAACGTGTTACCTTTGAAAATTTAGTTTTAAAAATCTGTTGATTTTTTTATTTTATTTTTTTTTTTTTTAAGATATATATTTTATTGATATTTCACAGAGAGGAGGAAGGGAGAGAGATAGAGAGCCAGAAACGTCGATGAGAGAGAAGCATCGACCAGCTGCCTCCTGCACACCCCCCACCGGGGATGTGCCCGCAACCAACGTACATGCCCTTGACCGGAATCGAACCCGGGACCCTTCAGTCCGCAGACCGACGCTCTACCACTGAGCCAAACCGGCTTCGGCTGATTTTTTTATTTTAATTTTTACTTCAAAGGAAGGGAAAGGAATAGAGACATAGAAGTATAAGTGATGAGAATCATTGATTGGCTTCTTCCTGCACACCCCCTGTTGGGATCAAACCCAAAACCCAGGCATGTACCCTGAGCAGGAATCGAACTCCGACCTGATTCAGAGGTTGATGCTCAACCACTGAGCCACACCAGCTGGGCATAAGTTCAGCTATTTTTTAAAATTTTACAAGTTATGGACACTGATGAGAGCTTTTTTTTGTTTTAGAAAAAAGAACCTATATGCGGTAGGTGGATGTATGAATTGGTAGGACCTTTCTGTTTAAATATATTTTATTGATTTTTCACAGAGAGGAAGAGAGAGGGATAGAGAGAAACATCGATCAGCTGCCTCTTGCACATCCCCCACAGGGGATGTGTCCGCAACCAAGGTACATGCCTTTGACTGGAATCGAACCTGGGACCTTTCAGTCTGCAGGCCGACTCTGTCCACGAAGCCAAAGCGGTTTCGGCAGTAGGACCTTTCTAGAAAGCAGTTTAGCAATATGCTCCAAAAAGCTTTAAAATGACAATCTCTTTTGAAAATTATATACTTTTTAAATTAAGTACACTACATTTTCTTTTACAAAATTAGAATCTTACATATGGGTAAAGAGAACAATCTACAGCCCCTGAATTCCCGCCTGCCTACACTCCCCCTCCCCCAACAAAGACTGGTGCAGAGTCTTCAAGTCTTTTTTTTATACTTAACGTAGTCTCAATAGGTGCATATATGCACTTATTATTTTTAAAAAGGGAAATGATATACTATGTAATTCTATAACTCTTCACTTGACAATGTTTGCAGTGTGTACATGTTATTTATAGCTCATGTTATTTATGGTTCATTTCTTTTAGTGTTCCAGTGTATAACTGAATTGTTTGTTAATGTAAATTATCTTTTTCTCTTATTATTGGTTTCTATATTAAAATCTATTTTGTTTTATGTGTTACTGTGTATCACATTTTATTTTCCATTCTCCTTTTGATGAACATTAGGTTGTTTCCAATTTTTCACCTGATAAACAATGCTGCAAGGAAATCCTTGTATGTATTTTCTTGTGTACATGTGGCATTTCTCAAGATATATACCTAAAAGTGGAATTGCTTGGTTTTAAATTATGAACATTTTTTTAAAATATATTTTATTGATTTTTCACAGAGAGGAAGGAAGAGGGATAGAGAGCCAGAAACGTCGATGAGAGGGAAACATCGACCAGTTGCCTCCTGCACACCCCCTGCCAGGGATGTGCCCGCAACCAACTTACATGCTCTTGACCGGAATTGAACCTGGGACCCTTCAGTCCGCAGACCGACGCTCTATCCACTGAGCCAAACCGGTTTCGGCTAAATTATGAACATTTTTAATATTAATAGGTTTTGCCAAATTTGTCTTAAAAATATTTCTACTAATATACATATTTCACAAGTAGTTTTTTAGAATTCAGTTTCCCTATAATCTAGACCAGTGATTTTCACTCTGTGTGCTATAAGAATTTTTAAAACATGAAATACCTTTTAGATGCACTGACATCTTTTCCCTTAGATTGACAAATAAAATGACAACAGCCAACACAACAATAGCCATCTTTTGTGAATGAATCAAAATTATACCTGGGTTGGTTGTTTTTTTGGTCAGATTGGCAAAAATATATTTTTTGGTGTGGAGCAGAATTTTAGTAGTTTGTGTGCCAAGAGATGTAAAAGGTTGAAAATCACTGATATAGACCAACATGAGATATTAGCTTACTTTTTGCCCATCTAATGGATAAAATGATACTCATTTTTTAAAGATCTCATTTTCAGATTATTAATAATGTTGCAGTATCTATTCATGTTTATTAACTTATAATTTATGTAAATTTATACCCATTTTCTATTTAGTTATCTTTTTCTTAATGATTGAAGGAGTTCTTTATGTGTCTGCATACTGTGTATCCTGTATAATTTTTAAAAATTTCTTCATCCAATGGCTTTATCCTTTTTTTGTTGCTATTGTGAAAATATATTACATTTTCTCCCAACTCTTTGCTTGGCTTTTTAAACTTTATTTTGTTTTTGTTTATTTACAGATTTTTTTTTTTCCTTCTTTACAAGCTTCAGGTTTCTTTTTATTTTACTGCCTTTTTCTAAGACTTTCAGTACAATACTGAATAAGAAGAGCATTGGTGGCAAGCATCCTCATACTGTACCTGACTTTAGTGAAAATGCCTCTGAAGTTTCATTATTGAGGATGCAAGATTTTAGTAGAATAGTCTTTTATCAGATTAAAGAGTTCTCTTTTATTACTAGTGTGCTAAGAATTTGCCTTCTTCCCTTCAATAGTTGTCAATTTTCATTGAATTTTTAAATTTTGTTTTTCTGCATCTGAGATGAGAGTTTTCCCCCATTTATCTGTTAATATAAAAATTTACATTTAGAAACTTTCTAATGTTGAATTTTCTGGGTATTTCTGGGATAAACCCTACATGAATGATACACTTTTAGTCTACTGATGCATGCTTATTGTTTTTGCTTCTATGTCCATAAGTGATTTTGGTCTTGAGTTCTTTTTTTATGTGTCAAGGTTATAATTAGTACTAATCTAAAAAAAAGTTTGATGGCTTCCCGTATTTTTTTCTGCTCTGGAATTTTTGTATACTATAGAAAGTATATGTTCTTTGAAAATTTTATGGAATTCATCTGTAAAACTTTTTTTTTTTAATATATTTTATTGATTTTGTACAGAAAGGAAGGGAGAGAGACAGAGAGTTAGAAACATCAATGAGAGAGAGTCATCGATCAGCTGCCTCTTGCACACCCCCTACTGGGGATATGCCCGCAACCAAGGTACATGCCCTTGACCGGAATCGAACCCGGGACCATTTAGTCCCCAAGCCTAGGAGCCCTTAGTGGGTTTATGTGTTTTTACAGTTCTGAGAAATTCTTGGTCTTTATTGCCTCATCATTCTCCCTATTTTATCTCATCTCATTATTTGCTCTGTGTTTTGAGTGTTTCACTCTTCAATCTTCCAGTTTACTAAATGGCTCTCTATCTGAGTCTGGTCTATTATTCAGTCATCTGTTGAGTTTTTCAATAACTTTTTATATTCAACTTATCTAATGGGTATTTTTAAAGTTGTATATATTTCGCCCTGGCCAGCATGGTTCAGTGGTTAGAGTGTTGGCCTGGGCACCAAGAAGGGTCATGGGTTCTAT